TTATATATATATATATATATATATATATATATATACTAAATATTTGGTCCCCTGGTGAGATAGCAGTAAGTCTTCGGATTTACAATTCTAAAATCAGGAGTTTGATTCCCCTCAGTGGACACAGCAGATACTAAATGTGGCTTTGCTATAAGAAAAACACACACTAAAGAAAGATTTGTCTGAACTTACAAAGCCTTTATTGAGTAAGTCTTCATGTGGTTTAGAATGCTTTTCACCTTGTAGTTTTCATATTTAATTTACAGATACTCTGTAACCTCCGAAATGAATATAAAAAAAAATGTATCAAAGGTGTATATTTTTTCTATTACAAGACCACCCGTGACCCATTGGGTCACCCACTATTCAGAGGTTATGAAGAATTCAAGCTAATTTCAATATTGCATCGAAATGAAGGAGTATTTTGAGATAATTTAATTAAATATTTGAATCCATTGGGGTTATTCATAATTCAAGAAAAGATATTTGATTGTTTATCAGGAGTAAAAGGAAAGACCATTTCATTTTTCAAAAAAGTGAAGTCAGAGTTTTCAGGTATTGTAATGAATTAGTTCATTATGTTGTGGTCTTTCTTCTTAAACCTTCTACAAATAAGAAACAGTAGCACTTTATTTTTTATTCGAATTACCTACCATAATGTTTTTGTCATCTTACGCTTTTTAATGAAGATGGGAACATTTACAGGGAAATAGATTTGAATGAAGAAGTTTCATAAAGAGCGCGAATGGTAGTGTGATGTAAAATTACTCATGCTAGAAATTTTCATAAAAGTGACCCAAAAAACTGCGCTAACTTGGTAACCCATGGCCCAATGAAGTTTGATAAAGAGCACAAATGATAGTGTGATGTAAAATTACTCATGCTAGAAATTTTCATAAAAGTAAACCAAAAAATGGCGCTAACTTGGTAATCCATGGCCCAATTGTAATGAAACTTGTTTTTTCTGTTTCTATTCTCATTTCATGACAAATGTGGCACTATTGTGTGCCGTTTTTGCTGTATTTAATTACAGACAAGCAAACAAACAAACAATCTCAGAGTTTTAGTAGTATATAGATTTTCTCTACCCTAACAGTAACTGTAGCTAAATCATCAATATACATTGAAATGAAAAGACATAATTATGAAATAAAATTAACATTATTTTTTTTCTTTTTCTCTGAATGGATAATTTGTTGTCACATATTCAATTAATGATATTCCAAATTTCAATTGCTAACCTTTTCATGTATGTTGTCTTTTAATTTTATGGTTTTATTGCCTGTCTTGAACCACAAACAGTTGAATATATTTATCTGTGAACACAGTGGGAAGACATTAGCAGATTCTCATTCATAAACTTACTATTCAATGTAAAATATGTGCACTCGAATACATAGCAAAATTGCTTAGTTTTTTTTTCTAAATTCATCCACCAAACAAACATTCACATACCTTTCAAATATGAATTTTTGAACACAAAAAAAATGTATGCCATTAGAATAGAATGTACCAAACTAACATTTAAATACCTTTCTAACTAAGCTCTAAATTGGGTCAAAATATTATGTTACTACAATGAATAAACAACTTTGCTTACACGCAATTCAATCACTTTCTTTTGACTAACATCTATTGCCACAAATTCAAAACAACAGTTACAAGCTTCAAGTAAAAAAAATAACAATTATTGGTTTTAAAAATGTGCATCAAGTAGGAACATGTGGTTTTGAAAACTGCCATGAAAGTTAAGAATAGATTTATATGGCTTCTGCTGTGGGTTAAAAAAATATCTCATCAAATAAAGAAGCTAGGATGTTGAAATTTTACATTTGACCTTGTTTATTGGCAGCTTTTGTTTATATATTTGTAAAACACCATAGAATCTATACCATTGAAGTTATACAAATAAAAAGGGGGGAGAATTGAGAGTGCATGTCAGTACAAGTGTAGATTGAGAATTATTTAATATTTCATTTTAAAATTAAGATATTAAAACTTAGATAATATATAAACTTGAATTGTAAACTATATTCCAGTACTAGTTTTATTGATATACATTGCTAACAATTTTGCTTGATTAAATTTGGAATGTAACTCCATAAAACAACATGACATGTGCAATTAATTAATGTCATACACAAAAGGTTAAGCTGAAACAAGTTTATTAAAAGCAAACATTAAAATATAACAAAACTGAAACTCACTAAATTTCTTAAAAATTACTTGAGTTATCGAGAGTTAAGTCAGTCTCTCTCATTGGAGCAAATCTGCCTATGCAAAAATACACTAACATCACACGAAACTATGTTTGCACACAACTCCACTTTGTGCACATCTCGTTCATCCACAGCAATCTGACTGCAAAGGCTCCTAGCCATTACCTGATTTACTTACAAAAAGAAAAGGACAACTTAAAAATGTTAGTTATTTCTCCTATAAGAAAATGCAGCTAATTGCCAGTTAGTGAATTCACATACAACGAGCACTGGGTCTGGAAAAAGGAAAAGTGGTGTAGCTTTTCTGCACCCAAACTGAATTGAAAGAAAATACAGAAATTTCAAAAATTTTACATTTTAACTAAAAAAGGATCTAATGCATGATACAATCATGTTACATAACTAACTTTAATTTTTGTGGTCTTTCCTATATTTCTTTGTTCTGGCATTAACACTGCATTTGAAGATCATTTAATATTCTCTATATTTCAGCTCTGACTGTTTTTGTTTTTATCCAGAGAAAGGAGACCAGATTTCTATAAAATTAGGACATTTTTGTTTCTCCTTTTTTTGGTGTATTAATCTTTTATATTATATATTTAAAAAATTTTTTCAACCTTCTTGCCTTATTATGTTGCCTTTTACACATACATCTGCATAAATTGCATCTTTTTCTTTAACTAGTTGTATGTGAAAAATGGCCTTGTGAGTCACTTAAACACAAAAATATGTTTACTATTTAGATGATATCTTAGTTAAAGAAAAAATATCATCAAATATTGCTCTTCTTTTTCAGCTTTATGCTTTAGGAGTTTTAGAGAGCCCAAAGTTGGAGTTTGATACAGACAGTGTCAGGTAAGTTATTTGAGATGGTTAAAAACTGTTTAGTTTAATTTTTTATCCCATGAAGATCAGAATGTACACTTAAACTTTAAGTTATCATTTATTTTAATGTTTTTCCCAACCTCTTACAATTTATTTGTTTTTTAACAACAAATGCCATATAATGACCTTATTCTTTAATGAATTAATGTTTTTTTCTGTTTATTAAAGTTTGTTATTGTTTCACACTTTTTTCTCTTTGCCTTAACCTGTCATTGGCATACCTTTTTATACTATATCATTGTATTGTATTTTGAAGTATCCATATCTTATTTGTAATAAGTAGATATCTTTACTAAGATATTGTTTATTCTTGCTTGGTTGGTCTTGCAGATTGAGCTTTGACTGACTTAAGTAGTCTAATAGTATTTTCTCTTTTTTATGAACTCTATTCTTGAACATATTTTCCATTATTCCAGTTTTAGCCCATGTTAACAGATCCATGGTATTATATACAAAGTATACTATTTTTTGAAGAAGCTGCATGGGACTTGGCAAACTAGCTGACTGAAGATTTTGTTCCTTAAAATTATGAACTCAAAGACAATGGTCCATTATTAAATTATTACTCATGTCTTATTCTGTTTTATTTCTCAAGTTTAATTGGAATCTACTTATACATTTTTATCTTCTGTTCCTTTAATAATTGCCAGTATATCTGTAGATATAGCAAACATTACTGCTTTACTATTTGTAATTTTTTTACTCTAGTTTTATTTTAGGTCATAAGTCAGCATCATACAACTCAGAATCATCTTCACCAGTTTACTTAGAATGAAGAATGTAATGCAAGTTTTAAGATTAAAACCTTTTTTTTAAGATTTTACTATATATTTCTCATAAATCATTCTTTACAGCCTTGAAATTATCTGAAACTGTCTTTTTTTGAAAATATACATTTTACCTTTTACTTACGATGTTTTGAAAAAGTCCTAGAAGTTAGTAACTTATAATAAAAGCTGACAGTTGATGAACAATTACCCCCTCACATGAAAATAATCTCCACCTATTACTGGTTATTCATAAAATACAAGTCTGTAAATAACATTCTCTACTTAACTTTGTTTGGATTTAGCACTCCTGGAATTTTTGTTAGACAGTTAAGAAATTGCACAAAGATTTTCAAACTACTAGCAATATTCAAGCTTAGCTTCATTATTTTTGTGGAGAAGAATTTTCAAAGATAGGGAAGATCATTATGTGATATGAAATAAATAGGCATATAAAATGCTATTATTAATATTTATTTGAAATGAGTGACTAATGGACATAATCGTTAATGTGAAACTAGGCTTCAAGAATACATTTAAATATAAAATATTTCTTACCAACAGTGAAGTGGTGCGTGAAAACTAACAATAGATGTTGATGTACAAGAAGATGGGAGAGAAAACTCAACCATACAGCTAGTGTTAATTAGACATAATGGAGTAATAATTTTATTAAAAGTTTTATTTTTACCAGAAGGCTGTAACCAAACAGTATCTAGTATGAGTTCAAGAGCTTCAGTGTTAAATCACATTAGTTCTAATAATATCTGTGTACTCCTGTGAGGAAGCCTTTCTTGTAGTAACTGAGAGAATCCAAAATAATACATGATACTGTTATTATATATTGAATTAAACAAACAGAATTATTTTGTATTCTTAGTTAAATGCATATTCACACAGGATTTGTTGTGCAATTGTAAAGAAGTCTGGTCCTCAACTAATTGCATCTTAAAAATACATTGCTGATAATTTCTGAAGTTTTGTTAAAATTGACCCTTTCCAGACTACATAGCACTTTTCAGGTGTTGATTGCATACCTGCATATCAAATTTCAAAATTTTAGTAAAATAAATAATCTTATTTCAACAATTTTTAATTAAGATATTTTATCATTTTGTAACAGATATTTAGTGTAATTTGTAAAGAAAAATGTTTAAAAATCTAAGCATTTCTGTGCAGCTCCAAAGAGTATCACCTGTAAACACTGCACTTAGAATTTTTTAGAAATTTTCTGCCCACCACAAAGTACAGGTTTTAAGTTGCCAAGAAATTATCATCCCTTGAGAATACAACTAGCCGAAGAATTTTATTTCTTTTGTGACTCTCCATGTTTGAAGTTTTGTTCTTCACAAGGTCTTGTTCTCATATTTTTATGATGTCACAGGATATGGTTTGAATAACAGTTAATGAAGCTCAGACTTAAAAGTAGCTAAATACAAACTTAAATACTGTTTTAATGTTGCTCTTTTATTGGACAGATTCTGTTCAATTATTTGGTAAAAATCATTCAACATTCAGTCCGTTTAACAATAAGAAATTAGTTTATTTCTTTCTTAATGTTTTAACATGTTGCCTTCACTTGCACACTATTATAACTTGTAGGTCTAAGGAAATACCGTGCTAATTATACTACCTGACATGAAAATGAAATTGCTTGTACAGTTTCACAGCTGAATGAGCAAGTAACTAAGTATATGCATTAACTAACATAGATCTGAGTACTTAACTAAATCTTCACTGAATGACTGAAAACAAAACTAACTCAATACACATTTGGTGTTCACCATTAGCTAATTGACTGTCTCACCTGTATTTATATTTAATCCTTGCTCTAGACATATAACATAACATAATGTTTTTGGGACAAAATGGGATCTATTGGTCCATCTCAGCCATTCCGTCTTCTAAACTAAATTGAAATATTTAAAATATAAAAAAATCTTAAAGCCAACCCATATCATGTATATACTTAACAAGCTTTTTTCATAAACTCACTTTTACTGCCTCTACAACATTTGAAGGCAACCCATTCCAAAGGCCAACCACC